CGGAAGTGATGTCGTAGACGTCAAAGTAATTTTAAAGTTATTCTGAAGGTGAACGTCAAAATAGTCACTGCCTCAAAAAAAAAAAAGAACAGAGAAAATATAGCGAGGGTGCAGGCAAGCTGGTGAATATTAACCATGTTTAATTAACCCGAGACTGGAGTAGAAAGGAAAACATCAAAAAAGAAAAAAAGTCATGCTCTCTGCCTCTTTTTTTTTTTTCTTGTGAACTTTTAGGTTTGCTTGTGACATCTTCCCCTTCAACTTGCTTACGACTGTTGGGCCCGTACCAGATGTTACAAGCTGATTTAAAATGGCACTGCCTCACCAATGTGCTGGCCTTTATTTTATCAGCGCTGTCTGAGAGGTGTACATCTAACAACTTTTATCAGCTGTCTCTATCATGATAAAGAAATGCACAGCACTATCACCTGTCCACTGAGGCAGGCACAAAAGATTGGCGGAAAAAGGATGCGTATCATAATCGAGAGGTCAAAAAAAGTTAAACTGGACGTGTAGTGTTTGTACAGACAGCATAAAGTCCGTCTGCCAGGATAGGGCAACACTGGTTTACACTGTAGATGAGCAATTTTTCCAATGCAGTACGACTGCTAACCTGGGGTCGTTAACGTGCTCACGCAGTAGTGATACACGACCGCATGCCGGTACAATGCTCATCCAGATCGAAACGGGCAGGTGTGGGGCTCGAACCCAGGATCCCTGGGTTCTGCAGTGCGAGCTTTTGTTCGCCTTTTCGCTCGAGTAAGAGAGAGGTACGAAACCATACGTCTCACCCACCAAAGGCACCACCGATTTTTTTTTTAGAGCGCAGCTCTTAGGGGCCCGTTCCCGGCTTGAGCGGCGTCGGCGTTGGCGTCGACGTAACCAAGGTCATCTCAAGGTCACGTGACCCCTCCCAAGGTCATCTCAAGGTCACGTGACCCCCCACGTGACCCCCTGAAGGTCACGTGACCTTGGGGGTCACGTGGGGGGTCACGTGACCCCAAAGGTCACGACCCCTCCCAAGGTCATCTCAAGGTCACGCGACCCTTTGAAGGTCACGTGACCCCTCAGAGGTCATGTGACCCCTACGAGGTCACGTGACCCCCGAGGTCACGTGAAGGTCATCTCAAGGTCACGTGACCCCCATGTGACCTCAGGGGGTCACGTGACCTGGGGGGTCACGTGACCTGGGGGTCACCTTGTGACCCCCTTGTGACACCCATGCGACCCCCATGTGACACCCAAGGTCACGTGACCCCCATGTCACGCCTCCCCGAGGTCACGTGATCCCCCTCCCCGAAGTCACGTGACACCCCCCCCCCCCCCCCCCGAGGTCACGTGACCCCCCCCCCCCCCGGAGCATATTAAAGAATGAGGGAAGGAGGAGAAGGAGGAGGGGTCTACCCTCTCCTCAGTACCCTTCACTCCTCTTCCTCAAGAGCTGCGCTCCAATTCGGCGTTACAGGGATTTGTAAACGGCTTTCACTTTTTTTTGTTTGTTTTTTCTGGAGACAGGTGGCAACTTTACATTTCTGCAACATCATCAGGCATTAAATCGAGATTGCTTTTGAAGACGCTGCCAACAAACGAGCCGAAGGCACATTACAGGCACCATACTATTGTTCCCTGTTTTAGAATGTGCCCTTCTAGAGCAAGCGCTCATTCCTTAAAAGCATGTTTCAAAGCCGCGGTTTCGTGCTGAAGCCCTGGCTGCCCTGTAAGCTCGAGGGTGAACCAAATAAGCCCGACATGAAAAGCGAAGCTGACAGGCAACTTGTTCACACACGGTCAGCCCTTCATTGCTTTGATCTGTTAGAGACGAAGCTGAACCAATTGACAGCAGAAGAATGTACACACTGCCATCTAGTTGTGTCGGAAAACAGTGGGGGAACTTCGCACCCCTACCCAAAAAAAAAAAGCCCGACGGGGGCGGGGGGGACACCCCTATGAAACAGAGAGGCACAGGTGCAGAAGTAAAGAACCCCTAAATGCAAAAATCCGAGCACATTTACGCCGTTCCAGCAACAGCAGCCCTGCGCTAGTATGACTACAATCATTGTGGCGTCGTTATTTCTGCATATCCTCCCGAGCTCGATACTGAGGATTTTCAAAACGTCTTCTCTCCTCGCTCATGATCCCACTCCCGTTTCCGATATAACACTGTGTACGAGTTTTTTGGCACACCGCAAATGGCAGCCGCATCGTCCGAATCCGCCATAAACTTTCCGAGGTCTAGACATACGGCGCGCAAGTGCGTCCGCTTGGATGGTCGCCGTAGCCAACGCTCCTAGGGGTGTTGTCCGCAGCCACTGTCAAAGGGAGAGGACGTCCCTTGTGAGTGCCTGGCCTCGGGCACGCACTCGTTGCTTTTCGGAGCGTGCTCTGGCTGCACATGCATGCTCGAGGCACAGGGAGTTATCGCAAAGGACGACATTTCACGGACCCTTTCGAAGACCCCACCGAGCAAAAGTTGGCAGTCACCATTTCTCGGGCACACGGCATTGCGACTGGATCCGAGTCCTCGTCGAACGTCGATGAGGTACTCACTCTCAATTCAAGCTGTGCCGAGTTTGTGCCAGACGCTGGCGTCTGGCACAAACTCGGCACAGCCCAGCACGTGCCCAGACAACGGCAGACTCAGTGTACTGGCTCTTCAGGCCATCTGTGGGCCGTTCAGTCTCGTTCACCCCACCACAGCAGGCAGCTACACGTTTTCACCGACTCTCAAGGGGCGGTGCAGGAATGTACCCGTCCGACTGGCCAGCACGGGACAGTTTGGGAGCTCCGACTCCTTTGTAAGGCACTCCGCTTCCACGGAGACCAAATAACACTGACCCGGACATCTGGCAACGCAGACATACCGAATAATGAGAAGGTGAACGCAGCCGCGAGGCATTTATTGCGTACCTTCGAACTCTTGCAAGGCTGCCACCGCCCTCCGAGCCCAACCCACCTTATATTCCTGCAGACCCCTTAAAACGCAGGGATGCCACACGTCTCGCCGCCTTTCTCCCTTCAAAGGAATATCCCCTCCCGTCTGGTTACACCAGGTGGGAACTGATGTGCCTCCACAAGTTCCAGACACAAACAGCCTCAGGAGTGTATGGCCAGATTTCACCGCCCTACTTTCCCGGGCAATGTGGGCCCCAGCCCACTCTGCCCCCAGTGCAGAGTGACGGCGACGTGCCCTCGCGTAATCTGGGAGTGCCACTCCACACGCGCAACTGCACACATTAAATTCGCTCCCACTGAGCCACCGGCCTATGAGTTGCGGATACGATTTGTCTCTTGCAATCGTGCGGGCAGCGAGCGCGTACATATAACTCTATCCCTCTCTATGTCTTTTGTCCTTTCTGTCCATCTCGCTCTCCCCACACTACAGTCTAATGGCGAATTCGCGTAATTCTTTCTGCACGCTCTCAAGCGCTCTTTCCAGAGCGCGTGAAATCGGGTGGTGGAAAGAGAGTGATGTGGCCTGGTCGGCTGGTTCATTCTGAGGGCGCCTCTCCCCCCTCTCAGAGCACTCTCTATATACTCTGTCTGTAGCCGTCGGAGTGCGGAGTGGTGCAGGCGTTACGTGGGACTTGGATGGGGATCACATGGTTTTGTTGACGATGGCCGGCAGTGGTCTGTGGTAGTGTGCGGGGTCTGGCATGACGGTGATTGATGTGTGGTCCCACAAAGTGCTGTGCATTCGACGGTGCGAGGATTACAACGAACGGGACAACATTTCTTTGTGACCGTAACAGGAAAAGTCGACGTGTGAAGTATTCCCAGTGCTTTTACGAGATCATAAATCTCGCGGCGGTGATTCCGCTAAGACTAACCGACGAAGAAACAGCTCGCAGAGCTCGCCACTGTTTTACCGGGTTTTGTGGTCGCTTCAAGAAATTTTTAAGTTTGGTAAAAGTGCGTACAAAGGTTTGTGTTGTACCATAAAGGGAAAGCCGAATCTAATGCACAGTCATTTGTGTCACATGGCGAGATGCGTTATATCCTGCTTGCACAATATTTCGCCGTGAGAAAAATATGGTTTATTAACCATTTTATATTTGCCTGCTCTGCTGTACGCATGATCGCTATAGCAGCGTGTTCCCTGTCGAAAACGCGATGAGTTGACAACTCTTTCCAAGCATTGGCTTTCATTCTCTTCTGCAAAAATCAATTCGCATACTGCTGTTTTTTGTTGTTTTACATGCCGATGCGTAAAACAATTTATGTCACATCCACTATTTCATCACGTTACGAGCGTGAGTTTTCGTAGACCGCGTCTCCCCCTCCACTAAGGCCTCCGCAACGAAGAAGCCGCTACTGCGCCTGCGCGCCGCTAGCCTCGATTGAAGAAACCCGGATCTCGTAGCGGGTTGTGGAGTGTGTTGTGGGACGGCGAAAACCATCTACGAAAACTTCCCAATTTTGCTCAATCGTCCACCGTACGCTGTAAAATCTTTTTTTTTTTTTTCTAATGCATTATTAAATTATTAGGAAGTTTTACTTCCATTACCGGTCTGAGAATCTCGGGGCGCTCTGAAGCCAGCAGTTGTGATCGGCTGAAAAGAATCCCAAGTAGCTCTGGCGGCGAGGAGGGGGCGCTCTGCTGAATCAAGGTCAGAAGAGAGGCGAACACCCGAATTCACCATCAGATGAGTGTAGCCAAGCGAGACGGCGTATCATTTCATTCTTTCCCCGGTGAAGTTGCCCTCTCACAGCTGTCACCGTAAGATCACACGCGCCCCTGGCTTCTCGCGGTGTACGAGGCAACTGGGAAAACGAGACGTGTTGCTACCGGGAGCTCGAGCCGCGATTTCGAAACACACTGGCATCAGCGCACCCGGTAACCAGCGATTGCCAGCGGTGGCACAGGCGTTGGATAGCGCTACGCTACATGCTTCCGTAGTCGCACGCTGAAACGAAGTTCGCATGAAACAGCGTGCACCCTTTCAATTTAGAAGCGCCTAAATGTAGGCCGACAATAATCAAAAAACAAAACTGGCGTTTACCTTCACGGCTCATTACACGGCGTTTATTCGACTGCTCAGCGGCTGCAGCGGCCTCCCCTGGGCTGCTGCTGGCGTGGTTGAACGCAGTCGGCACGAAGTCGGGGTGGTCCTTGGGGTCCGAGGAGCGCCCCGGAGTAGTGAAACTCGTACGAAGCTCGAGCAGCTCAAGTGCGCGTTGCTCTTTTCACAAATTTGTCCACTGTGGAATACACCTTTGGTAAGTGGCAAATTAATCGCAAACCACGTGATCAAAGCCCTTGTGTCAATAAAAATACACTGTGGAACTAAACTCATGATATATTATTACTACAATCTAAAATATATTTACAATCAACTCATTTTAAAAGAGTGAAAGTTTTTTCAATAATTATATGAACTCGTAAAAGCGTCCCTTCACCTGTTTTTATGTTTCGGTTTTTTAGTTGTTTTTAAAGATGGCGGCCCCCATAATATTCTGTTCATTGGCTTGTCTCGTTCGCTTGCATTGCGCCTTCGCTTCATTGGGAGGTGCGCACCACCGAAAGCCAAAAAACGGCGGAGCCAGGTGTGCACCAGTGGACAACAATCACAGGTAAGTTATTCGAACAAGAGTTAATTGAAGCAAACGACTGTTTATTTTCGCTCGACATAGTACAATTGTAGAAGAGTAGTAAGTTGGGCGAGTTGGCGAGTTGTACTATTGTACAACTCAATTGTACTACAATTGTACTATGTCGAGTCGCTCGACATAGTACAATTGTAGAAGAGTAGTAAGTTGGGCGAGCGCGCCTGTCTGTGTTCTGTGTTCCTTCCTCGTTTGTCCTCGTCTCTTTGTGCGCGATTTTAACCATGTTCATAGTACAATTGATACGAAAAAGTTACAAACAGCACGTATCAGCGAACAGACACGGTAGTGCAAACAGTTTGGATGTTAGACTTCAAACTGTACGTAAAAAAAGGTGAACTGCCGATCAATCAACATAGTCTAAGCACGTAAATTTGAAGTCGCGCTAAAGGTAGATTCGAAGTAACGGCATTTCAAGTCAAAATAGTAAACGAAAAGTATCGCAAGAACACGGTAGGAGGAAGACATGGACAGGAAAAGGGCGCCGCTAACAACTGACTTTTTAATATCTAGAAAAGCAGAAAAACGAAGTTCTGAGTAATATCTAGGAAAAGAGAAGGACGAAGTTCGCTACAAATCGGCACCCTACAGTTTTTAATAATAATAATAATTGGGCTCTAAAGAGCCGCGACACCGCGGAAAGCCGACAGCCCGTACCATGGGTGTCATTCCGATTTGAAGATGTCCACATTTCGTTGGGGTGGGTCAGCAGCGGGGCAACCTTTCGACGCATCTGGAGCCGCTGCATCGACTGCTTCGTGACGGTCAGCAGTGGGCCTGGAAGAAGGAGCAGGACTTGGCCTTTCAGCACAGCAAGGAGCTGGTCGTTAAGGCTCCAGTGCTGGTGCACTTCGACCCGGCCAAGCCTGTAGTCCTCACCGTGGATGCATCGCCGTATGGGGTAGGAGCCGTCCTGTCGCACCGGGGTCAGGATGGTCAGGAACGCCCTGTGGCGTTTGCTTCTCGTCGGCTTCATGCGGCGGAGCAACGCTACAGCCAGCTCGACAAAGAAGGCTTGGCCCTCATCTTCGGGGTCCAGCGCTTCCACCAGTACCTGTGGGGCCGGCAGTTCGAGGCAGTCACGGACCACAAGCCGCTGCTGGGGCTGCTGGGACCTGACAAGGCGGTCCCAGTGCAAGCCTCGCCTCGTGTGGTACGCTGGGCCTTGACGCTGGCAGCCTACAGGTACAAGCTGGTCTACCGCCCTGGGAAGGACCTGGGACCTGCCGACGCCCTGAGCCGCCTGCCCCTGCCGGAGGTGCCTGCTGCCGTTCCAGAGCCAGCTGACGTTTTCCTGCTGGAGCGGGCCTACCCGGGGGTGCTCACCAGGACTGCGGTGGCGCAGGCGACCAGCCGGGACCCGGTCCTGTCTCAAGTGGTCAAGGCGGTTTCCCGAGGGGAGGAGCTGCGTCACCAGGCATACAGCCACAAGACCGCCGAGCTGAGCTTGGAGCAAGGCTGCCTCCTGTGGGGTTCCAGGGTGGTGATTCCACAAAGTCTGCGGGCCAAGGTGCTGCAGCTGCTGCACGCGGGGCATCCTGGCATTGAAAAGACCAAGATGGTGGCACGGTCGCACGTTTGGTGGCCTGGCTTGGACCAGGACATCGTGCACCAGGTGCAAGGCTGCCAGGTCTGCCAGGAGAACCAGCGAGCCTCGCGCCACGTGGAAATCACCCCCTGGCCGTTCCCACAGAGGCCGTGGTCCCGCTTGCATGTGGACTATGCGGGACCCTTCAAGGGCCACTACTTCCTGGTGGTAGTGGACGCCTTCTCCAAGTGGGTGGAGGCACTGCCAGTCACCAGTCCCTCGGCAAGCGCGACCATTGCGGCTCTGCGGCAGGTCTTCGCGGCGCAGGGATTGCCGGACATTATCGTGTCTGATAATGGTCCCGCTTTCGCCAGCGCCGAGTACCTGGACTGGCTGCAGAGGAATGGAATCCGCCGGATGCTGGTTCCGCCGTACCACCCCGCTTCCAATGGTGCGGCCGAGCGAGTGGTCCAGACCATCAAGGACAAGCTCAAGAGGAGCCAGCCCGGGGATTTCCGGACCCAGGTGGCCCGGGTACTGTTTCAGTACCGGACCACACCGCATGAGGTCACTGGCCGTGCCCCCTGCGAGCTTCTGCTGGGCCGGATGGTCAAGACCCCCCTGGACGTCTTGCATCCAGACTTCCGGTCCACGGCGCTCCTGAAGCAGCTGAAGCAGAAGCTGGCTGCTGACCGAGGGTGCCGTCCCGGGCCTTTGCCGGAGCCGGGAGCGTCGGTGTACGCCAGGAACTTCCGTCCTGGCCCACCCTGGTCTGCCGGGCGTGTGGTTTCACCAGCGAGTGCCTCATCGCTGCTCGTCCGCATGCCCGACGGGACCACCTGGCACCGGCACGCCGACCATGTCAGGCCTCGCCTCGGGACCTGGCTTCCACCCTCGGCCGTCGCTTCTGAGGACCAGCCTGCAGGGGGCCCAACACCACTCGTCGTGGCCAGCCGAGCACCACCCACCCCAGAGGCGACAAGCGTCGCCAGTCCTGTGGCACCAGTTGGACCGGTGCCACACCCAAATCCAGTCCCTGCGGCTCCACTGGGTGGAGCGCGATCTGTACAGGCAGCGCCCGGCGTTGCCACACCTGGCCCGTCTACTCCAGGGCCCAGGCGGAGTATGCGGCAGCGAAGGCCACCTGACCGGTACTCGCCGGGGTGATCTTCACCATCGACCGGCCGGGACTTGACACGACCTGACGCCTAGTTGGTGTCGGCCGTGTGTGTTTGTCATATATTTTGTTTTTAGAAAAAACAAACTGGGGGGGAGGAGTGTAACAAGTATGTAGCGCCCCCCTCCAGTCCGCCCGTCTGCGGCCGCCTGGCTCGGCGGGCAACATTGTTCACCTCGCCCAATAAACGCCGTAGAGCGCACGCCGCTCCGGTCAGTCATCGTCCACCCTCAACCAGGCTGCGTGTCGTCTCCTCGGCGGGTGCTTCGGCCCCCTTCGTCCACGTTCCAGAAAGTTCGTGACAGGGGATCTGCAGCCTTCCGTTTGATCGGTGCGCGGTTGCACAAAGGAGCCCCAGGACCATGATGGTGCTGTCGCTCACTGGGGTCGAAGCACTAGGCTCCAAGGGGGTATGCCCCAGGTTGCACAAAGGAGCCCCAGGACCATGATGGTGCTGTCGCTCACTGGGGTCGAAGCATCAGGCTCCAAGGGGGTATGCCCCAGTCAAAGCAGAAAGCTACCGCCTCCGAGGTACCGAGGCCCAGGGGAGGCCGACGCCCAGTGTGGCATCCTCTCAACGTCGTTTCCAAGATCTCCATGTGTGCTGGAGGGGTCTAGGCCAGACTTGTACGTAATCCGTTACAAGTAACGAAATTACTGTAATCCCTTACATTTATCTGTAATTTAGTAACGGAATAATTACATATTTTCTCGAGTAATTTTAGAGTAATTCCCGTATATTTTTTACGTAGCGGATTCTTCGTAATCTGTTACATTTTTTTCAGAACACCCTCCTCCCCCCCCCCCCCCCTTTCTAAAGAAGGGATTGTTCAAAAAACAAAACAAATTAGTCGTTAGTTGTTTATACAGCAGGAGTTTAGTCTGCCAGAACATGGCGACATTGTTACCCACTGTAGATGAGCAATTTAGCCAGTGCGGTACAACCGCTAGCCTGGGGTCTTTAACGTGCACCACGCAGTAGTGTTACACGACCGCACGCCGGTACGATGCTCATCCAGATCGAAACGGGCAGGGGTGGGGCTCGAACCCAGGATCCCTGGGTTCTGCAGCGCGAGCTTTCGCTCCACGCGCGTCGAGCTGGGTGTGCGCTTTAGCCCACTCGGCCACCGATCCCCCAAAGGATTGTTCACTGTCACGCGAATTGACCTGAGCAAAAGGACTCTTTTAGAAGAGGAGGAAAAGGAGTCTTGGCACTCTTCTGTTCCCCAAAGTTTTTTTTTTTTGCAACACCAAGCCCCTGAATTTTTTTTTTTTTTTTTAGACAATAGGGAGTTTTAGAATAACGTACGCAATTTTAGCGCACGCTAGCGCTAAATTTAGCGCTTGTATGAGCGCACGCGACGCAAAAGAGTTTTAGAATAGCGTTTCACCGCCGCGACGCAAAAGCCCAAGCATCTCGCGCTTGCGACGCCACCAAGATACAGTAAAAATTTTTAGTTTACACACGAAATGCTGTAACTTTAGAAAAAAAAACGAGTTTTTTGGTCCAGAGTAGCATTTTAATTTGTTTAAACATGAGAACGCGACGTGAGCGGTTGAGCGGTCGTGTCCGCTTGCGTCGCCTCGGCAAGAGAGGTCTCGTGTACTGACCGTCGCACATCATACCTTCGCCGTGAAATGTTCGCGCGTCGCAAGCATCAAGTTGTCGGTAATCGCTGCCAAACCGAGTACAATGTCGTCCCGTATTGAAAATTGCAGTCGCGAGGATACCGCCGACGTCGCACTCACGACGCCGCCAAAGCAGCCGCCGACATAATCCTGGAAGCCGCCATGTTTTTTTAACTGTGCTCATCTTGGATTTAGCCAACTTCTCATCACGAATCCTCCTAGGAGAAGCGCAAAGACTCTTTGCGTACGCTAAAATTGCGCACGCAAAGCGCAAAACCTGGTTTGCGTTCGGAGCATGCGCAGTGGCGACGACGCTATTCTTTGCGTACGCAAAGCTTTAGCGTGCGCTATTCTAAAACTCCCTAATAACAACAATGTCCGAAGATCCAAATGGGCATTTCTACAAAAAAGGAAAAAAAAAAGGGGGTGGGCACAAGCTAAATCCGCTTTTTTTAGTCCCTTTGTTTTTTCTTTGCGATCGAAGACGGGGAGAGAAGGACACCAAGTGATTGTGTTCCTCTTCGAGAAGCTCGAGGCCGTGAGTGCACAGAAAATAATTAACAATGTCCCTCTCAGTTATAGTTACTACGACCAATTTCATAATGTTGCATCATGAGACAACGCTCCATCTAC